TGATGATCTGCTCAGGTCCCTTCCGACCCTGCTAACTATGGAACTATGAACTGATAAGCAAGCAAAGAGACATTCACTTTTGATTCCAGAAATACAGCCAAGTGCCTGCAGTGGTTCAGACCAGAAGCCAGGGGGTGCTAAAGCATGCCTCTCTGGTCAGCAGGATCAGACCGAGTGGGCCAAGGCAAGCCTGCCCATCCTGGGGGTGGGGTTGGGGGGGGAGGGGGGAGGCTTGCAGAGGAGGTGCAAAGTATCTTGGGATGCTGGGGGACTGTGAATCTTGAATCTGGAAGGGATCTGGAACAGAAGTTCAATAAACTGACTTATGTTCACTAAACCTCTGTTGTGTTACAGATTTGAACAAGTTTCTGATCACTTATACCAGTTTATGTGTAATTTCTATTCCTAGCCATAGTGATTCTGTTGAATGGAAGTCTCTTTTTACTATGTACACACAAAAAACATGTAGGACAGGTTAGGAAGTTATGCATTTGGAGAACAAATGCAGCTTACAGTATGTAGTTCCAGTGCTGTAGATACAGTCTATTCTAGTCCCCTAATTCAAGAAAGTAGTTCCAGTGACTACTTCCACTCATTTTACACTCTATAGTTGCATACAAAATGAGGGATAGAGTTAGACAAGTTTTTGAATGCGAAACATTCTTCTTCAGGTCATTTGAGGGCACTCAATTCTTTGAAAAATTAAGGTTATTATGTATCAACTAAGACAGGAATTTTAAATGGAATTCAAATTAACAATACCTTTTATACCATTTGGCTTTAATACTGTGGCAATAAAACAAGCTATTTTTTTTTAAAAGCCTCATGCATAGCTTATACAGGCCCTCAAAAGATAATTTCTGTAAGTTTGTCTTGAGGGGATTCAGTTTTTTTGGTGAGATGTGAAGCCTGATTTTTGTGTATAGATATATTGTACAATTTCAGCAGTGTAAAGTATCTATAAATGGCTAGAAACAGCATTTCTACCCACATTACAGTCCCTTTTATTTTGCCTGAGTTGGTAACAAAAAAATAAAAATGAGAATTGGGCCTACAATTTTAAAGTTTTTCCTTAAAGTTCTTGAGATCTCTGCTGTTCATCTCTTTGAAGGTTCGAGGGACAAAAACAGAAAAACATTATGCTTGAACACTACCAACTAGTGGCACTACCTGCCTGCCCCAAAATGTCTGACACATTCAGCTAGGCTTAATCTAGAAGTAAACTACTAAATGTGCAGATATCTTTCTTATATTTAAAATAATAGAAGTTGATTATTGTAGTTTGCATAAGCTTATAGCTGTCTTCACTTCTGATTAAAAATTTGAATGAAGATCTTGGTAGAGAGGTTTGTGATTTAGCTCCTTAAATTGATTGAACTTAGTTAAAGAGGTTTCATGCTTTGACAAATAATCTTTTGGTGCTGTTAAATAGCTGCTTTATAAAATGAGATAGGTATTTAAGAGAAAATGCTAATTTATTCTGGATTTCTATAGGTAAATATTAAACATTCTATTATGTTCTGGGAGGAAAGTATATGTTGAAGTGAATTTATTTGAATAAGGCATCCTGCAGCATCTTGTGAATTATTTTCATTCTAAATTACAAATCATTTAGAGACTTCAGCTTCCCTGTGAAAGTATAGATTGTCTTTGAATATTACTTTTACTCTGCTTTGAAGCTGTATATTAAGAAGGAAAGTGCTGGATCTGTTTTTTTTATCTTATGGTTTCAGTATCCTAACTGTAATCATTTTGGTCTCCCTTACCCTTTTGAAAATGCTGCTGATTTATTCAAATGATGAGTCTGATGAGAGCCTATTTACTCCTAAGACCAACTATAAATACAGTAACAATTCTTTGAACATTAAAACAAATAAGAAATCTAATGTTATTTACTTGAATAAAATTTAAGTATGTGAGATGCAAAATAGCCAGTTATACAATCGGAAATTTTAGCTGTTTAAAGAAAGAGCTACTTGATTGTTTTATTTTTGTTGTTGTTGATTTTTTTTTTTAGATATAAATATTCAGTTTGATTGCCAATTACATGAATAGTTATTTTTGCTGAAAGAAACACAGGGTAACTCATTAAGGAGGCAATGGAAACAGCAGTCCCTGAGGAAGGGACATTTTTTGTTTAAAAAACAAAATGAGTCTCTTCTGAATAAATCAGAGGCTTTGGCTTGGCCATTTATTTGCAGCTTGGTAAACTGTCATTAATAAGTAGCTACTAATATTTTTCCAACATATCACCCAAATATCACAAATCAGGAGATTAGGCTGCAAAGTAGCATTTAACATGAAAAAAAATATTTTTTTGGCTAATTTATTGATCATCTACAGGAAAGCATGATCTTCTCTGAAACAGCTTCCCCCCACTTTCCTTCTATACAATCTTTACACTGATACTTGCATCAAATTTTCATTTGAGTGAATTAAATTGGAAGAACTTGCTTCCTGTTTTCCATTTGTAAGCATGTAATCATACAGCTAATAGTTGTATTTCAGTTTTACAAATGCATCCCTTATGCATCCAGATAAAAACAAAACAAAAGAAAACCTAATGCATGCATACAAACCTGATGCAACCCTCAGGTTTATTTTTTATGCTATTTAAATGCAACATGCCTCTCTTTTTTTTTTTTAAATCTGCAATAGCGATTTAATGCTACTAATGTAACTGAGTCAAATCCCAACTTAAAGCAGGACTCTGAGATCTCCATCACTTATCAGAAAAGGCTGAATTTAATACCTGTTCTGATTTGAAAAAAGTACTAAGTAATATTAAGGGGATGTGGTAAGAGATTTAAAGGTATCCTTTAGTAATGGTTTACTGGAGATGGTACCTTTTCCAGATACAGCTGAATTTTATACTGATTTTCTCGTCTTTGATCTTGAGACATTTAGAAATAGCATTGTCTCACTAACTATTAATCACTTTAATAAACAGAATTGTGAGGTATGAAATTGCTTACAGACAATTTTGTATTTCTCTGACAAAATCCATTTGAAATAAGACCCATTACATAGGAACAAAATTAAGGCACTATACATTTTACTTTTTTGCATTCCCCTCAGATTTTAACAATAAAAGTACTTCTGCAAGCCACAATAAATAATTTTGTTCACAAATTATATGCAGTCAAATCATAATTTGGTGATTACCGGGGAACGGTATTTGTATTCAGAAAAAACAAAGGCTCAGCAAGGCTAATCCTCACAGTGAATCAAACCACCTCAGTAGATTTGAATTGCCTAAAGACATGATTTTAAAGTTTATTTTCTTCACCATTGCTTTAGGTGGTATATCTGAAAAAAGGGCATTGTCTGTAGTCTATAAATCAGTTTCCAGGGCCTACTGGTGATATTATACTCAAGCCTGGGTGACTTCCTAAACACCAATTTTACAAATTTATGAGCAAGACTTCCTTTTTCCTCCAACCTATCAGCCTCATCATTCTTTTGACACTAATTTTATTGTGATTGTTTTCCTACCAAGTATTAAAATAATTTTAATTTCATTAGCCCACTCAGAGAAACAATTGGGGCCAACTCAAGGTTGATGTGATATAGGCTTCCATTTTAAGCTTCAGCATGCATGAACATAGGCATCTTGCTCCAGGAGAGTTATCTAAATGGACATAGTTGGACAGTTATGATTCTTGTGACTATGAAGTCAGTGGAGAGAGTATAGTACCTCTAAAAGACTGTGTAGAACACATAAGCTATGAGCAGGGAGGTGCCTATAGCTAATCCATTCAAAAGACTAAACACACAGGTTAATCTGACTTCCTATCCTTCCTACCCATGCTTAGCTAAGAAGTCTAAGTTCGTAATACAAAAGGTAGGCACCTGTGAACTTTTCTGGGGTGGGTTTGGATTAGCTTTTGTGCTTGTCATGAACCCCATAAATTTTGAGATGTTTGTAGCATGTGTTGCAAGTTTTCTTATGTTTGTTTTACTGATACAGTGGGTATGGTTTTACTGAAAAGCCCATCTTGTGCTGTGTTTGTTTGTGTCACTTTATGCTGTCTATATACCTTTATGATTTTGGATGTGGTTTAGCCAAAGGCAATGAAGAATAGATATACAAGGAAAAGGGGCCAGTAAAACTGCTAAGTATCTCCTGCTGTTGTGTTACTAAGGCAAGAGCAATTGCAACTCTAAATCCCAGGCATAAGGGGCTACTTTTAAGACGGACACACAAGGTGTTATCTGCCTATAATGGAAAAAAGCAACCCCATAATAGCTCAGGCATTTCAGAAAAAAATGGGCCATTAAATAGAATTTCATCTGTCCCTGGCAGGAAATACATTTCCAGAGAATTCTGAGGCTTATATGGAATTGGGACAATACTGATGGGGAGTGATGTTGGCTTGGAGGTATTTAGGGAACTATCTTGTAGATGGGGCTGGTCTTTGAATTATCCGAGGTTGGGGAGAGTCCAAGTCCAAGGTGGTCAGGGCTGATAGGATCAGCAGGAAGACTGATCATTGGAAATACTGGGGGGACTCTCACAGGGTTTAGTTGGTAACTAGAAAATTTACTTGTCTTTTTGTTCTGTTTTCAAGCTTATGGTCAGCTTTGTTTGTATTATTCTTTCCTTCTACATCTTTTTGTTGTTTTGTCTCTCTACTGATTGCCTGTGGCAAGCATGATCTCAGGGTCAGTACTATTCCAGGCTAACCCATTCTGTGGAAAGGGGGGCCAAAAGTTCTTTTGCAACCCAAAAGGAAGGCACCTGGAGCTGGCAGAGATCTCCTGCTGTAGCTGTAAGGTCTGGTATAAGGGCAGTGGAGCTGAAGTTTGCAGGGATAAGGAATTATTTCAGAGCAACCCTTGCCTTGTTCCTTAGGAAAATCAGCAGGACAATGGGGAGAAACTTGGATCTCCAGAGGTACTTCATTGATGAATTTGTAATTATTAAATGGGTACTTTGCATCGATCTTTCATCAGTCGCATGGGATGCCCATGTCTGCCACGGGACAGGGCAGTCCAAGTGAGGAAGATCCCATGCCCTATTAATGCTGACTTCATGAAGAAACAACTTGAGAAGCTGGATACCTTCAAGTCAGTCAGCCCCGACAATCTACACCCCAGGGTATTCAAGAAACTGGTGAGCAGCATAGCCCAGCCTCTGGCACGGATCTTTGAAAACTCCTGGCACTCTGGTGTAGTGCTCGAAGACTGGAAGAAAGCCAATGTAGTGCCTATCTTCAAGAAAGGGAGGAAAGTGGATCTGGCTAACTATAGGCCCATCAGCCAGACTTCTATCCCAGGGAAGATCTTAGAAAAGGTTATTAAAGAGGCCATCCTTAACGGACTGGCCGATGCCAACATCCTAAGGGATAGCCAGCATGGGTTTGTTGTGGGTAGGTCTTGCTTGACCAATCTCATTTCTTTTTACGACCAGGTGACCTATCACTTGGAAAAGGGAAAATAGAATGTTGTCATGTATCTTGACTTCAAAAAAGCCTTTGATTTGGTATCCCATGATCACTTCTTGGCAAACCTGGCCAATTGTGTCCTTGTGTCCATCACTATCTGCTGGATGGGAAATTGGCCTCATGGTCAGACCCAGAGGGTAGTAATTGATGGAAGTCAATCATCATGGTGTCTTGTGACCAGTGGGGTCCCCCAAGGCTCTGTCCTTGGACCCATATTGTTCAACATCTTCATTAATGATGTGGACGTTGGAGTCAGAAGCGGACTGGCTAAGTTCGCTGATGACATCAAACTTTGGGGCAAAGCATCCACACCTGAAGACAGGAGGGAGATCCAGGCTGACCTGGACAGGCTCAGCAAATGGGTGGACAAGAACCTGATGGTGTTTAA